ATCACTATCAGATAAAATCGAGATGTTATCGTCTTTTTGATAAGTAAATATCGCACCTGAAATGAAAAACAGTCACAACTTAAAAAAATCCCAAATGCAGAAAACTGTTGATGATGTGCAAGCGAAACGAACGTTGATTGTACAAAACCGTTTTCGTACATACTTCGAAAATATGAGGCATCAGATTTTTAGTACATTTTACGAATGTATTCGTACTATTTACTAAAGAATTTAGTACACTGTGTGCTTAAAAGCATAGTATATCCACAACTTTAATATTTACTTTTGTTAATTTTAAAACCATACGTAAATATTACGAATACCTTCCTACAATAAACAAAATTATTCGTACAGAGATTTGTTCAGTGCTTTACGAATGTGTTTCGTAAAATAAACGTAAGAGTTCGTAAATTGTACCGAAAAAATACCTTACGAAAGTCATTTCGTTATATTTACGTATAGTTCGTAAAATTTTATTTCGTTCTGAAAAATGTTTCCGTATTATGAACGAAAGTTTCGCACATTGTACAAAAACCAACACTACGAAAGATTTTCGTAGCACTTTTACGAAATTTTATTTTCAGTGTAGATATATGTATATTTGTAGGGACCTTCGGATAACATGAAAGTGTCGATACCTACTTAAATGAGTTTACTTAAATCATTGGGCCTCATGCATAAAAAATGAGTCTAAGCTCAGACTCAATTTTTGCACTGAAGGGGTGAGCTCAAGCTCAAGAATTTGTACTGAAAATCGAGTTGGAGCTTAAGCTCACTTTTTATGCATGTGGCCCATTATTTCGATACTACTTATACGAATAATCCGAATGTGTCGATACTATAGATGGGCACGGGCCTAAATTTTCAGGCCCGGCCCGGCTCGAGTGCAAAATCAACTTTCAAAAACACGCACGTGCCCGCACGTTAAGAATTTTAGTGGGGCCCGGCCCGGCCCGGCCTGGTACGACGGGACACGTCCCAGCCCGGAAATAAAGAGCCAACTTTTATTGTATGTATACATACAGTGACGAACAAAAGTATTGGCACTGTGAATTTTTCGCCATATATGCAAAGGTTTTTGTTCTAATTTATTTTCGATAATTTTTTATTATTTTTAGTGGAAGGTGTTGCTCATTTTCTCCATACAAAAAATAATTGTCGAATTACTTTGTATGGAAGAACTTGCGTGAAAAAAAATTACCAAAAATCAACGCAATTTTCTAGCGACTTCAAACTTGCACTTTGTTATACTAAATTTGAATGGGCTATAAAACTGCATACTTAGAATTTTTCTAAAAAATCTGAATAAAAAGTTGCAAATTAGTGTGCAAATTTGATGAATTTTCCTGAGTTTTGCACAAAGTTTAGAGGTTTTATTATTATGTTTTCTGGTGTAGAATGAACAATATTTTTATAAAAAATTATAGAAGATAAATTAGAATAAATAACTTTGCATATATTACGAAAAATTCACTGTGCCAATACTTCTGTTCGGCACTGTATGTACATACTTTTAAATTTGTGTTTATGTGCATATAAATATTTACTTAAGCGAATCAATTTTTGACATCAAATATTTTTATAATTTATTTTCTGATATATAAACAAAACTACTGATTATCTTATTTTTTCTATCGGTCTCCAAATATTTCTTATTTTGCTTTTCTCTTTTATGAAGAGTTTTAATATATACTATTTTTTTTATAAAAGGCTTATCTAAATTTGTAGTATTGGCAACGGGCTTTTTCGTGCTTATTCGTGCTTTTATGAAATTTTACTGAACGCCCATGCACGCGCGAGTTCGTGCTGACAGCACATATTCCGGCCCGTACCCGCTGACTATCCAAATTCTTGGTTGCTAAAAGGAATACAAGTCTGACATCACCACGGGAATAATTGCAAAAATTTGCAACATGCTACATTTATGCTGCCATGAGAACACTCACAAATTTAGTGTGGAATTTGTAGTTGGGCGGAAGCGTCGACTCTTTGTCCCCACTTTCACCCCCCACCAGTGAGCGAATTGCCACAATCTACATTTATGCGAAATATTTGTGGTCCAACAGTCGGAAATTTCAGCCTTCATGACAACACGTCCGACAACGGAGAGAGGCTCAACGACTTCGCCGTTGGTAGTTAGAACACGGTAGTTAGAAGTACCAGACACAAACATCGAAACATCCATAAAACCCCGAATGAAGAGCGAAACAACAAATTGATAGTGTTGTGATAGGCGCAACGAAATTTCGATATCGAAAAGCTGCAGTCATAAACAACAGCTGAGAAATTTTCCAATCGACTCTCAAACCTGCTCAAGCGAGACACTTCTCATCGACCGGATGTAAATGAACAGTGGGAATCTATCTGTCAATTTCTTCATACCTCGGTGCACTTAAGGTATGCAGGGAACACTTTTGTATTTTTATTTTTTTACTTTGTATTTATGTATCTACCAAATATGTACTATTATCGAAGATCACTTGGCCACAATTATGAGGGGAATCTCACGTCGCGTTAAAGTCGGCGTTAAATATGTAGCAGTCGTAGAGTAACATTTGGTCTTAAACAAATTTGCTGAACATCCCAACTCCAGCTCCTCCTAGCGCTTCCAAATGAACACAAGAACCTTTATGAATATACACAAACACCCCACCAAAATTAGAGAAATAGCAATGGGATGAATAGTTTAGGAATCCATAGCGGTCAAGATGCAAACAGACATTTGTTTATATATGTGTATACATACCTATGTACATATCGATGGTCCCCTGCAATAACGACACAACTCATAATTGCATATTTTTTAGTAGAGCCAATAAAAGTTTTTGCGTTTAATAATTTAACAATAATATGTCTTGGAACGTAATTATTCCAGATTATTTACTGTCGTTCTGTAAATAAAAAATTTACAAGCTTTCAAATTATAAAGATCTAGCAAGGGTTGGACTGAAAAGATACGAAATAAGTAACATCTCCTGAGTCGTTAAACGAAAATAACTCCATTAGTATTACTGAATAACGGTACAATACGAAAAATGTCGTTATTTGACATAAAATCATCACTAACCTATCGACAATTTTTGACTTATGCCAATATTTACGATAAATGTGAGATATGTGCAACTGTTCAGTAATAAGCCTAGTCCGATATATAACTCAAAAACATGAAATTTTGAGTTGTGCCGTTATTGCAGAGGACCATCCATATAGACTATATTTGATTAATAAATTTTAATCAAATGAATATAAGAGATAAATAATTTATGTATATATAAATGTAAATACATGTATATGGCATGTTCCACGTGAAACGGACTAAATCTCTGCCCAAAATTCTATGCAATAAAAATTAAAGTAAGGCATGTTAGAAGACTCGTAAATTTATAGTTCATGAAATAGAACGTGGCAGTATTGAAAATTCCGTATTACGTAACTGCTGCAGTAAATGCTTAAATAGATTTGTCATTCACAATTCACGGAAAAGTTAAAATCGAACGTACGTACATGGCGTATGAGTTAGCAAGAAGAGTTGAGAATGTTACTCATACGCCATGTACGTATGTACGTTCGATTTTAGCTTTACGGTGATAAATGATGGATCGAATATGGATCCTCCATTTTGAATGTTTTAAATTTGATTTCAGATTCATAATCAGCGAGTTTGAGAACCCTTAATCGTGTATTTGTAAGCCATCCCATTTTAATTTACGTTTCGGTATGGATGCCATGCTCAAAAATTGTAGTAATTTTTAGAGCTTCACAAAAACGCTTATTGCCCAATTTCAAAGAAAAATACATGATCACTTTGTTTTCTGCCGTTTAAACAACGGTAAACATTGGCTTACTTTGGGGTAAATTCTCAGCCTTTAAAGTGCTCTACCAACTAAGGTTTTGCAGATATAACTTTACATTGCGGAATATAAATTCTTTAGAGCACTAGAAATATTACTGTGAACAAATTTCATACAAACTTACCAAAAATTGAGCATTATAAAGCAATTTTTTTTAAATTCAAATTCAAGTTTTTTCGTTTCGTCTGGTATAAGGGAAGGAAGTGGTTGATATGATCTGTGTATTTTTTTTTTGAACACAATATATGGGCATAAATGAGTTTTCATACAAAATCACTTCGTCATCATTCTGCAAACACATACACGCGTAAGAACAGTTAGGTTGCCGGCAGTTACAAAAGGAGGCCAAAACCAGATTGCACAGGTAAGGGGAAATATATATAAGCTGTTCGCAGCATATTTTATACCCACCTATCGTCGTTTAAAGTACAAACCCGCGTATCAAAACCGCGTATGTGAGGTTGCATAAATTATTTTCTAGGGAGTAAAAACTCTCATATTTCAAAATGGTTTTCTTTTGTGTAAAGCAATTGCACTTTAAGCTAGTATATTTCTGGACGAATTGATTGAGCAAATCCAATTTTTGGCAAAAAAATTCAGTTACGCGGTTTTGCAAAAGGACGATATGACGGTCAATTTCAACGTCATCTGGAGGTCCTCATGGTCTTTTTAATTTTTATTAATCATAGTTGGGTAAATTTGTTGAAAAAACATACATATTTGGTATGACGATTAACACTTCATACCCTTAACCCTACATATGATATGTTATCTGTACGTAGAGTTTCCCGTTCTTTCTGAATACGAGATAAAAAATGGAGGCGACTAGTTAAAACAAAAAACGTGTTGATCTTGAGATGACCTTGAAGTTGACCCTCACGTTATTTTGCCACTCGGCATTCGAAATATTGTGTTTTTTCATATTAAAAAAAATTTAAGTTAAAAGAAAAATGGGCTGGGTGGGGGTAACATTCGGAAAGAATACCCTATTTGAAAATGTATGTATGTACATACATTTAGAATTTTAGTTAGAGCTTTGATCCGTTTGACTTATGTCAGTATATATATATATGTATGTGTTTGTAAATATGTATTATATATATGTATGTATCTATGTACATATGGGTACGCATATTTAAAATCACTTACATGTATTGCATATATCCATAAAGACGGCGTTGTTTAAACATTCGTTGTTAGTTGAGACTTTATAGCATAAACCTAGTCGTTCCATACATGTACACTAACATATGTATGGTATATAATTAATAGTAACAGTATTTTTTGATTAGTAAATATTTTTATTAATATTTTTGTTTATTTAATGCAATTATTTACAAAATACTCGAATGCTGTGTATGCTTAGGTGAATGTATTGTTATCCATTTTCTATTTTTGTTAACAGATCTATGCATATTTTTCACAATGCATTCACAAAATGTATTAGTATTACATACATATTTACAAGTAAACTTATTTTCGCAAGCACGCTTTTGTTGATATTTTTCAAATCCTTTTGCCGCATCAGTTTTTAGGCGCGCACAGTATTTTTTTTCCGAGTTTTCCTCTCTTTGAGAGAGATTTAGAGTAGGAATTTTATAAAACTGGTAGCTATTCTTGAGAACATGATCTTACACTAACACACACATATTTATTTATTCTGGATTATCGTGTTAAATAGTTTGTTTATTAAATATTGTATATGTGTACGAGTATATAAGGATCCTTTATTTCACTCATCACAAACACTATGTTCACTTCTCTTTATTTGCTTATCTTTTGCATCTTGCGATTTATTTTTTTGTTCGTCGAACGAGTGGCAGCCTCATTTTTAAAATCGGAACACTTTTTCATTTCAAATAGTAAATAAGTTGCATTTGTTTTAGTATTTAACAAAAGAAATTTCACATGCATATATGTACATGTATATATGAAGTATTTTGTAGCTTTAACGATATTGTTGATTTTAATAAATTATAACCTGGATTAAATAAAGGGGTTGTTCACACTTTTCTGGTTATCAGGTTATGTGGTTATATTTTTATTCGGTTTACAACGTATAAATATACTGCACAAGAATAATTTTTAACCAGATAAGCTGATAACCAGGTATGTGTGAGCAACCTCATAGAAATAGCAAATGTTGCCATCAGAAGATGGGATCCATTGGGTAAAGCAATCGAAGAACATTTTGGTTTACTTGTTCACATCAAAATCTGAAATGATGTGTGACATTAAAAGTTTACATTTAGGTGGGAATCGCGAAGGCTCCATTTGTTGTCATAAAAATTAATTGTAACGGTTACCACAGCTTTTTTATTCAAAAGTGGCTTTTTATACATATATTTGGATCTCAAACTACTTCTGGACTTCAACTGGTGGAACTAGCTTTTCAACTTTTGATTGGATATTTTTAATCCCGGAACGACATTCGTAAATGACTTTTAAAATAAAAGTCCTTGACAACTGTTACAGTAATAACAATAAAATAATCAAACATAATTGTAATATTTTAGTTTTTCATAAAAATTACAGCTCATAAGTTTATCGGCAAAATTATTTCTTCGTAAAACAAGTAATTTTTAAACAAAAAACCCACTTCAATACACATATAAAAAAAAATTAGGAGTATCGTTAGCTTCTTCATAATACATTGATCGGAACTAAACCAAATTAGTCTGGGACCATCCCTGAGGTAACACCTTTTCGATAAAAGAAGAATCGAAATTGGTTCCCGTGGGTCTGATTTATTTGATAACGTATCAAAAAAAAATATATTCCGACGAATTGATAACCTCCTTTTTTTGAAGCGATTTTGACCTAATCCAATAAATCGCTCCTCTTCTGTACCCACTGAAACCAATTAAAAACCTCAAGTGAAGCCAAGGCCTTCTCCACTTGGTCTTTCCATATAATGGGACGTCTTCTTCTTTCTTTACCGCCACGCGGAAATTCCGCAGAATCTTTGTCTCGAACACTCCAAGTTCTGCCTCAATGGGTGTTGTCATTGTCCATGTCTTAATTACAAGGCTGGCATTTTTGATTAATGTTAATTATAATTCCCAAATAAACGAAGTCCTTTTCCAAAATTATAATAGTTTAAGGTAGCATGCGGGTCGAGGAGCTAAACCGCTGACAATTTGCCTGATGACAGGAGATAATTAGTTTTATCATAGACTTACGCCAGTAATTATATTTACGCTCTTATAATAAATTGTTCCACAGCGGTTCAGTTCAGCAGCTTTAATTAACTTCACCAACAGAAGGTAGGAGCGCTGTCTGAAATATCGTAATTTTGCACAGCCGTGTTAGTTTCATCGAGATTCCAATTTCTGTCATCGCGACGTATAGGCAGTTCCCTTTCGTGCTACAGAAGGCGGCCTTAAAATCGATCAAGATTTGGCGTATGTTGAATATCTGGCCTATGATGCAGTTACCGGATCAAACAAACACTCTCAGGCTGTAGACGGTGGGCTTGAGTTTTTCACACAATTCGCTCCATATGGCCACTTGCGCAATGTTAATATAAGCTGTAGTTATTTGATATTTGCTTCATAGGCTTTTTTCAAACATTGATTTCATAAATAACTGTATCTGCTTTAAACTGCAATTTTCTGTTTAATAGACTTTTGTTTCAATAAATGTTTCCTAATTTCATGACATTTCGCTCAGCTGCATTTTCTTCTTGAGTGCACTGAATGGTGTGCATCGGACGCAATCAAGCGAAACGTACTGTACTTCTAATGATTAGCCGAACGCAAGTTTGTTGGGGCCAAGAGATTTCGCGCTGCGTTAATGCAAATGGGTGCGTTGTGATTGAAGCTGCAGCTCGCTACTAAGTGCGTTTTATACTGCAGCGTTGAAGTTACTTCCAATTGAGTTGCGACTCTACCGCTTGGTTTGAAGTTACGAGACATGTGGAGGGTGGACGAAGATAAGGCATAGAAAGAGAGATGGAGGCGGTTGGGAGCGATGGCTTATTACCAGTATACGTTGCGCTTGTCGATGATAGTTAATGGTATTGGCACGTTTTAGAGACCAGCTACCAGCTGTGGTGAATTAGGTTTTTTACTGGGAATTTTTCGTTGTTCGGGTGACAGCAGTATCAGCGTGAAGTCGCAGCTTTTAACTAAGAAACGACAATGATGACGACGATTGAAGCAAATCAGGCGCTCCTCCGCTTTATGGAATCATTAAATTTCGTTGCTTTGCCGCTGCTTTCGCTAGCGAATTTTTCATTTTTGCTATGCCCTTTGTTCGTTTCTCTTGTGTTCTTTAGATTCCAACTATTTTGTCTTTTGTTCCTGTACAAGCTATTATACATACATACGTATGTAATTTTAATATTTTTCTTATAGTTCTCTATTCACATGTCCTGCCAGCGTCTTCTTTACTATCTTCTTTATTACTTCCTCTTTACATACAATGTTTATCGAATACTTCGTGCTGGTTTACCTTATTTTTCTTGCTCACTTTCTGCTCCCGACCACTCTCTTTTACTGGTGTCCTTTTGATTAATTACCTTAATCTATTTTCGTCAGACACACCAACCCATCAACACATCCATTTTCTCATGGGCAATTTGTGGTCTTATCGCACTCGTTTTGGGACATGTGCCATTGTTCAATAGTAGGGGGGTTTTCAGTTATGAGTTGTGTGGTTATTACAGAGAACCATCGACATCTGAATATTCCATTAGTCTTTTTTTATTCAAATCGCATGGCGTATTGCCATCTTGGTTTCTTGCATTCTATGGATTTTGCGAAGGAATGAAATCAACACCGCAACGACCTCAAATTTTATATTTTAAACACATATTTTTCTATCGCACTTCTTCGCCTTTGGATATTTCCTAACTACTGCACCCATATGCCCCATTGTTCCAAAAACGCGAGAAAAAAATTTCACGGACACGTACATATATTCGTTAGAGGCGATCGTCATCTTTCCCTAGAGCCCGCTAACAAACCTAAGGGCAAATATTTCCTTCAGGTGTGCGGAGCGTTTTCACATTGTGTATAGAAAATATATGTATATGTAAATGCCCTGCTTTTATTTTAGCAAAATTATTTTTTTCTCCCATATCTACTTGGCTAGGTCGTTTTCTAGAAACTTTCTTCTGTTTTATAGGGGCAGGGGTAGCACTACGTCACAGTTTTCGCTAAGAATTCCATCCCTAGTTAGGAATTTTTTGAAATATTTTACTTAAAAACCAATATATTTTCATTATTTTATTACTTATTTTACTTTTCCACATATTTTTATTATTTTTCCATCAATATTATACACTTTTTCAGCATTTTCTGAACTTTTTTCACAATGTCCATCAGTATATCAAGTGTTTGCGTGTGTGTCTCTCATTTTACATATACAATACCATGGAGCGTGTGCTTGTATGTTGCCTTCACTATGCTGTTTGTGTGTACGTGTGTGTCTATATGTATGTAATGTGAGCAGTTTCTCCTGTGTGTTCCTTGGTAATTGGTTCCTTGAACGCTGGACGAGCGCACAACGACGACGACGACACCACTACACGACAAAGACTACTGCGTGACGAGTCGTCACTGCCTGCCTGTTTAAGCTGTCAGATTTCAGCTTTCGCAGAGTTGTCTATTCCGGAACCAGGAGCTGGGGCCCGAAGTGTGTTGGTGAGTAGCCGTCGCCATGACCGAAAGCTGTTGAACTGTGGTGAGTTTTAAAGTTTTGTCCCCGCGCTCCTTCCACTTAAGACATCTCTGGTATTTCACGTGCTCAGCGAGTTTGTGGCATTGACGCTCTTTACTGATGTGCTGATTAATGTAAACGGTGGTAATGAATAACGGTGGGAGTAGGGAACCTGCGCAATAGAGTTACTGGTGCGACTATACCCAACCCACTCCATTACCCATCTCTACTCAGTTTTCGCGCCATCAAATCAGTGTGACATATTTACATAGTCCTAACCGTTAACAGTTAAAAGATCCGTGGCGGGGTAGGCGGAAGAAAAATAGCCGCTTTGTGCACGCTTCTCACTTACCAAAACAGCATTACCTTGTTGTTATTGTTGCTTTGTGCTTTACCGCCGTGTTTTCATTTTCCCTTTATTCACTCAGTTACTATTTAATTTTTCACCTCGCTGCCATTGCCACTGTTGCTTTTTGTGTTCACATTTGCGTGTGTATGTATGTGTTTATGCTGTTGGGGCTGTTGTTTGGTGGTGAACCACATTAAGGGTCTGATTATGCATACCTCGCATAACTCCGCACAACCATTTGTACCAGTGCAATAAAAATGTAACTTAAGAGAATGTGAAGTAAAATCTAAACTCAACAGATCGCTAAGTTTTTAAAAGTTCTGCTAATTTCTGGGTAATAGAATACATACAAAGTACATACGAAATTAAGGCCCGTTTACATAGAACTTTGGCGTTGCGTTGGCGTTGGCGTCGCTTCAACAGCTGACTATGAATACATGAATTCAAATGCAGCCGTCCACATAGCCAAAATTCGACAACGCTCACGCCAACACAAAGCAAAAAGATGGCCAACTCTCAACTTTTCGCGTGCGTCGCTCGTCAGCTGTTGCGAATAAATAAAATTATGTGAAATATTTTTCCTTTTTAATCAAGTGCGGGCAAGAAATATCGTTTTTAATGCAATTATTGATATGAAATATTAATTTATCTGTCGTTAATATGTTAATTTAGTGGCCCAAGGATTCGCCGCCAAGCGTTCATTGTAGCAAGCATACTTTTAACGTGCGTTCTGTCAAACCAACGCCAACGCCAACGCAACGCCAAAGTTGTATGTAAACGGGCCTTTACAGTTTGAAGTTTATGCGAAATTGTGCGAAGTTATGCGAAGTATGCATAATCAGACCATAAGTGTTGATAATACGCACCGTACGGCTTTTTAAATGAACTCGTCTCACTGTTGTCTTCACAACTCGACCTCAATAATTTTTTCATTGCATTTTCGTTTGGCCTTCGTTAGCTTAGTAGTGTACGGTTAACACTTTCAGGTGGACGAATTTTTATTTTAAACAATATGCGTAAATGCACGAGCGAAATAAAAGGAGAGTTCACGATTTGTAGCATTTGAGGCATAGTTGCCAACTTAGTGCTTTAAGCACTAGATTTAGTGCTTTTTGAAAATTAAAACGCCAAAAATAATGGTTTAGTGCCTTGTGCCCTTTTTAGTGCTTTTTTCTGAACTAAAATTTCTGAATTTACAAGAATCTACAAATTTAAATGCACTAAAATGCAAACCATGATTGATAAAAAGATGAAGTTGCAAACCCACGTTCTTGCGTTTTTGTTAAATTGTATTCGCGTTGAAAATGCTAGCACGCAGATAAGTTAAGTATTTATTTTTTTATTTTCTTGATTATTGATTGATTACACAGTTCGAAAAATTTTAACTTTTTTTGCCACCTGAGTGGAACCGTTTGTGTAGATTTTTCGGTGCTGAATCCAAATCTAGCTGCAGGTTTTCTCTACCACGTCAATTTTGAGATATCCTAGCCTCTAAGTGTAAAAACACGGTTTTTCGAAATATTTGAGGTTATATTATAAAACAACAAATTTTTTCGCTCATTTCTACTTAGGGTATCATTAAGTATTACTCTTCCCCTTTAAAATTCAATTTCGTTTGTTGCGATTCGATTGTTCCTTCTCCAGATGTACCAGTTTCGCAAGCATGAATGTGTATTTATTTATACATGTAAATATTGTTTATTTTTTTACTTTTGTTTACAACAAACTGTTATGAAAAAGAGTATCCTTTGATAAAAAAAAATTTTGTGCTTTTAGTGCGATAAAACGCTCTTTTTCCAAGGTTTGGTGCTTTTTGAAACTCAAAAGTTGGCAACACTGATTTGAGGTGTTAAGTTGCTAAAGTTATAGCAATCTAGCATGCGTTGTGAGAAAATATTGCCCTGAGCTTAACTTATTAACTTTGGAAAAAATTAGGATAAACTACCGCAGTTCTGAAAAAGTTTTTGTTTATGCCAACGGTAGGCAAACGCGGCTCTTTGAGTGAAATGCGGCCCTTTGCTTAGCAAAGTGCGGCTCTTTTTTTTACTTTTTCTTTGCTTAGAACATGTTGGCTCTTTTTACTTTGTAAACTACAAATTATTTTAAGTTTTGAATCTAAACTAAGTCTTTTTATTCATGATCTCAAAAAAAGATTATTTCATCATTTTCCAAGGCTAGAAATAAATATTGCACATGATTGAAAAGCATATTTTGAAAAGAGATTTGCCGATTTGAAATTACTTAAATGGAGGTTTGCATACTTCATAACCCCTTTTTTATATAACATAATAGAGGACGAATTTACAATTTCCGAAATACTCCTTTTTAAGCGAAAAAGAGTTGGATGGTTAGAACAATTGGCAACCCTTCTAAATAAAGATCAGGAATAAAGCCTTTTCAAACCCATTTCGATTGATACCCACATTTTAATAATTCATTCAGCTCACTGAATAATTTGAATGTAACTTTTTAAACGCCAGGCAACCCTTTTCAATCATTCCAAATGTGCAAACTAAAGATTTCTTAACATTCTTTCGTTTGACTATTATATTTTTATATTTCATATACTTGTTGTATTAGTTGAGTTAGACTTTTAAAAAAAGGTGGCAGCCCTCTCCAAAAGTATTTTCAAGCTTAATCCTTGTAAACTCTCCTCCGCCGACATTGCGATACATATTTGAATGAACTAATGAATTAAGTGTAATTTGATTTTTCAAACATTTGGCAACCCCGTTAAATACAGTTCGGAAATAAAAACTTTTCAAACCCCCTGCGATTGACACCCATATTTTAATAATTCATTTAACTTATTAAATAATTTTATTTTAACTTTTTAAACAACACCTCAAAAATATTCTTAGCGTTCAAAATAAAGGTTTCTTAACACTCCTTCGTTTGGCATATATATTTCATATAACTTGTGTATAAGTAAACTAAATTCGACATTTAAACCAGGTGGCAACCCTCCTCAAAATATTTTCAAACTACTACTTTCTCAACCCCCTTTCGTTTGGCACAAATATAGTGTTACATATTTCTCTTGCCTAATATGATTTTTTAAGCAGGTAGCAACCCCCCTGTAGTTCCGCTAAGAAACAAAGAGTTTCAGAACCATTTCCATTTAAACCCATTTCGTAATAATTGGTTTAGCTTTTTAAATAATATAAACTTTATTTTTTAAAAGGTGGCAACTCTTTTCGAACAAGTTTAACCTTATTGCACATCTACAGCCTTTAATTTACACCTAACTTTTAAAAATCGAACGAACGGTACGGATCTGATGGATTGATTATTAAAAAATTTGAATTTGAAAATCAAACGAACCGTGCAGATCTTTTATCCTGAACCTAAAATATATATCTATATATATAATAAAATAAATTAAAAAAATATTTTTTAAAAACAAGCTTTTATTTAACATGTACAAATAGGCCATTTAAATATCTGCATACATACATACCTAACCAATTATGCATGTACGTTGAATTCGCCGACAAACTTTTTTAAAATCGAAGTAAATTAGTAAAATTTTTTAGTAATTTTCATTAAGTAACTTTGAGTAACTCCTTTCACTAAATGGCTTTTAGTAACTTTAACGAAACCTCAACTTATTTGATTTTATTCATTTTAGTGCAGTTTTGACAAAATGTTCTTGCTATAAAATCTTTTGTTACACTACTTTAATTTAGTTCTTTGATTGTACATGTTAAATAAAAACTTGTTTTTTTAAGAAATATTTTTTTTACATTATTTTATTTTGAACATTTTAGTTTTATTTTATATAACTAGGAATAAATAAAAGCTTGTTTTTTAAGAAATGTTTTTTTTTACATTATTTTATTTTGAACTTTTTAGTTTTATTTTATATAACCAGGACATAATATTTTTATTAAGGGCTGGCTCTCCATTTATGAGCGTAGTACATTTAACATAAGCGACGTAAATCTTTTCGATCATCTGTTTAGGCTGAGTTCAGGTAACGAAAAAATTGTACCATGGAAAAAATGGCGGAAAGTTGGCAACTGTTGAACTAAGTGAAACTACTCAAATGTGCGTTTCTAGGACAAACAGTCTACGGTTAGACAATATGAACGCGCCCAATGTATCATGAATTAGGAGCATAATCAGAAACAAATCAGTGTGTTACTTAATTTAAGCATTCAGATCAAGTACAAACCACACACCTGCTAGGTGCTCTACAGAAGTTCGTATAGAAATATCCCAAGGTTAACAGCCGATTTATTCTAACTAATTTCCGGTATTTTATCTTACCAAGGAATTCACAATTGAATCTATCATACTACTGCCTAAAACTATCCTATATAGTTGCGCCGGCAAATTACGCTCTGCTATCACTAGCAGTAGTGAATACGCTGTAAAGAAGCAGGGATGGCACGATTTGTACATTCGTACAGATTTAACATTTTGGCAGTCACAGAGTGGCGTTGTCTAGAAATAATGAATTTAGCTCAATAACAACTTTCAAACAACACCACTCTGTAATCGTTAAAATGTACGAATCTTGTGATCCCT